GCCCTCCCTCGCTGACAAAGATCCGCGCTGCGGGGAGGCACACGGCAGCCGCTTTGCACCTTCCGAGAAACTGGGCAATGCGCGCAGGAGAAATGCAGCAAGAAGGCAGTAACGACAAGAGGAAGGCAGCAAGGACGCGGGGATCAGGCACTAGCGCTCACTGCCCGTGGGCAGCCACAGCTATTTGTTTCATCTGAAACGCGCTATGGCATTTTCTCAGATTTCTTTCTGGCCCGGCAGCTAAAAGGCAGTGCTTTATCCTTCTCTTAACCCTATTTTCACTAATCTCATTAAGTCACACAAAACATTTTTTTTTTTAATTACTCTTCATTTGTCTCTAAATTTAAGGCAAATGTTGGGCATGCTCGGCGATGTAGATGCTCTGCACTGATGCTGCTATGGGGAAGTTGTTTGCTTCCTGGTCCAAGACAGTCTGTTTACTCACACATTCCCATGGATGACCTAGAATGAGTTCATTGCCCCCTGCCATCATCTGTGTGTTTTAGCATTAGTGCCTTTCAGTTATTTATGGGATACCACAAAGACCTATGCTCTGCTGCACTGTGTAGCATCTTTATACTAAAGAATACAGAATATTCTCAGGTACAACTGGAACTAGACTGGGAGTAGCTGCAAACACTCCTTGAGAACAAATACGCCATGCAAGAAAACAACTGGTGACAGAAATACGGGCAGGAAATGTCAAAATGAGGGATGGCTCAAATATTCAGAGGCACAAACAAATGTAATCTGAAACTAGCGTTCAGTGAAAAGGAAAATGTTTAGAATAAACAAAAGCAAAGAGACCAACAGAAATCATGCACAACAAAATTGCTAAGTGTTGGCAATGCAATACGGTACCCATATATCTAAAGCACTGGGCTTAAAGCAATATGGAGAAAATATCTATGTGCGTATTGATATTGTCTAGCATAATGAGAACTTTATGCATTACAATAATACAGGTAGCAGAAACAGCAAACACTTCAGTATCAGATAAATGAATCAAAAATTCAAGGAACAGTACAGAAACAGAGGATACAAGGTTTGCCTTGTAAGGAAAGATCATGTGAACAAATTCTCCAGACCTTGACCATACAATGTATAGTCACCACAAGAAGGTACACATACGTATTGCATGCACTAGATGTTTGGTTGGTAGATGTTTAGGAAGAGGTCCTTTTCAGAAAGAGGGAAGGTATAAACCCCTACCAAGGATCAGGCCTCAGTCACTGCAGCTAGCCTACATTCTCTGCACCTTTTCATGACCAGAAAAAAAGGACCGTAGCTCGGTAATTCATGTCTTCCCTCAATAAAGTAGGCAAATTCCAGACCGGAATTTACAACTTAGCACTCCAGCTTCATTATATTCAAAGTAACATTTATGTGTCAGACCCCCAGGGTGCCACTAGGGCCAGATACAAATGCAAAGACATAAAGCTAACATTGGAGACCAACCAATGATATTAATGAGGTATTTTGGATCACATGTTAAAACGTGATACTACTATCGAGATCCAGGATACAACAAAGTCCATTTGAAAAGAACTGCACAAATGATCCCAGATGATTAAGCTCATCTTCAAGCACTAGGGAGCACTAGGTCTTTGGCTTCCAAAGTCATTCTTGAAAAAGAAAATGAATCAAGCTGATGTACTATTGTTTTCTACATCTGTGATCTTTTCTTGATCTGCAGAGCTAAGAAAAGAGATTCTTCTCTTCCTCCTCACATTAGGCTAATATAAATTGGAATATAAGAGTTAGGGATAATTCTAGATAGTTGATGATGGTGGGACAGTCCAATATTCTAGGATATATGAAGTTAAACAATTTTTTATTTTATTGTTTGCTTTACCTTTACATTATAGCTTAAAAATAACTCTTCATGAAGAGATCCCTTGTACCCATAACAAACCCACTAGAATCATTCACACAGATGTGCTTGCAAGATCAAAGCCTGTTAGCAGCTTTTTGCCAAGACAATTTCAAAAAAAATTCAAAAAATTTCAAAAAAACCCAAAATTTTCAATTCAAATTTTCAAAAAAAAAAATCCCACAGAGAACAACTGCTATTAAAGAGGCTTACTTTGAAATACCTAATCTAATACTAATTTTTAGGATGTCTAACATTTAATTTTGATTTTAATGATGACTTCCATTGCTATTTTCTCTGTTTGAAGCAAAACTTTTGAATTACATGGGTTGCTTTATTTGCAGTCTGTAAGACTAGTCTTACAAGTCCAGGCTACCCTTCAAGCTCCTACAGTTACCCAAATACAAGGACCTATATGTCGGAGCATCTTTTGGAGCCCGTCCTTTATGACTACATGGCTAGATCTACCTGCTCGTAAAGAACGCCCTTAATTTCACTGTGGTGCCATGCAGGGACATAAGATGTCTCGTCCCCACCCCAACACAGCACACAGCTCCCAGAGCGCGCTCAGAGCCCTGCCCCGTGCCACCACAAACGCAGGGGCAGCATTTCAGCACGGCAGATTAAGCTCTCCTGCCACTGCAGAAAGTCAGGCCCCAGAGAGAGCAACTGTAGAAGTAGTCGCAGCACCAGGCACCACACACTTGAGTGCTGGAGCTCACTTTCCTCCCAGTAAAGCCAATCTGGCTTAATGACTTTACGAATATTACTCAGTGCATTCTTCTGCTAAAGTGTGGCGTTTGTCTCAATCAATTTATTTCTGGGATAAAATGTAAGAGGTAGAGCCAAGATCCTACCATAATCAAAAAGTTCTTGGTAAGTTAAAAAAAAAAAAAAAAGCGATGACCATGGAAAAAAATACTTTGCATTTTTAGGGCACTTTCTCTCTCTACCACATTCCTACATCTTCAACATCACAAAACTTCCTCCATCACGTGTGGCTTGTGACCCTTCTCCAAAGGGGGTACAGAGCAATACTATAGTGAGTTGGGACCAGAGTGAGTTGCAGAGAAGTGACAATGCTCAAAATCTCACAAAAGCAAAACTGACCTAAAGTTTGTTAAAACGTAAATCTCAAGCCATCGCTTTTCCCTTCCAGTTGTTTACAAATCAGAATTTCTGTCTCTGTAAAGTCTCCAAAAATCAATCACCTAGGAACTCATGTCTTTGCTGCCTTTTTTTTTTTTCCTGACTGCTTTAGGCTGTTTTGAAAGTCTCAGCTATTAAAATACCTATCTTGCAATCAGCTCCAGGCAGGAGTAGGATTCTTTCCACAGAGATCTCTTTGCAGGACTGGGCCTATAGCCCAGATTTTCAAAGGATTTTAGCTGCCTAAAGAGATAGATAAGGGCTTAGGGGGATTTTCACAAGCTCCTAATTTTTGGTGCTTTATTAATTTTTGCTAATTCAGTAAGTTACTGCAAAACATTTCGAAAACTGTCTCTGGATGCTCAGTTTGCACAGAGATCAAGCTCTCTGAAAGTTTCAACATTTTCTTCTTTTTCATGCGCTGTCTCATTGCATTTGGCAGTTATTAGAAATCATTAGAAATACATGTTAGACTTTAGAGGTAATTTTCAAACATGTAACTATAAAAGAAGGACATACACTGCAAACACAACACAAAGGCTTGACAGAGAAATATCTATGGCCTGGAATAGGAAGTAAAAATCATCAAAATTATTTGGACTTATGTTGCTGCATGCAAGCCTAGTATTGAACTTCTTTGTACTTGCTTTACAAAGGCAAGTCTTTTAATATCAGTAGCATTGTTGTTTATACCAGCACAGCAGTGTACTCTGACCCCAAACGTAAAATATGAAGTAACAATAGACAAAAAAGCTGATTAAATTATGGCCATCTACAATGAGATACATACTTCTGAACTCTTGCTTGTACTTGTCTACTGTATTTACAATACAGTATACAACATGACAACAATAGACCTATGGAGATTAAAAGTCTGTCTTCCAGAAACATTATGGAAGTTAGCTAGCTGACTACACTTTTGGCTCTGGTCTTCAGTTTGTAGGCTACATTTTTCCAGTGGGGTATTGCGTTGTTTGATGCCATGACCGCAGCTTCTTGTTTTGCTTGGAATACACCAAGCACGTTAAGGAATACACCTAACACATTACAAACTTGCTCTTTGTAATAAATAATGTGGAGTTTGCTGCTATGGGGGAAAGATGATTAAAATGTTTAAAAACACTACTTAGCAGTAGTGCTGACTGCTTTCATAGTTAACTTTATGTTTTTGTTGCCTTTACCAATAGTGGTAACATGGAAAATTTTCTCCTAGAACAGGAAAAGGGCGTTTTGTGTTATTTCCAGTCCACAGAAGGTGGGAAAATTTTTCTCTGTGTAAGATAATCCGTTTCTATGATTTGTAAAAATACTCAAAGGTAAAATTCAGTGCAGCATCCAACCCCCAAAAAGGGTTCAGATCAGTGAGTAGACAGAGATCTACAACTTGTAAACTGCCCATCACAGTTAGGATTAGAAAGAAAGAAATTGTCAGATATGCAGTGTTTCATCTCAAGCAAACACCACTCTACATTGTAAGTGTCTTGAGCATTTCCAAGCCCCACTGTAGTTCAAAGCTAAATATCCATCCACTTAATATGAATGAGGAATAAACCTCCCAGGAATACATTTTATAGACAAATGATTAAAAAATAAATTAGTTTCCTGAAATCTTTTTTTTTTTTAATGAGAAACTTTATATTAAGAGTGAACTGGGAAAAAAAACACTGAAAATTCAGGTAAATGCCAAATGCTTTTGCAACAAT